CAGGGCGGCCTGGATGCCGCGGTCGTCGGAGGCGTTGAGCTCCTTGACCCGCGCCTTCCAATCCTGGGCGGGGGCCAGCCAGGGAAAACACCGCGGCCCTCGCCACATCTGGGCGGCGCGCTGGAGGAGGAGGAGGAGGAGGAAGAGGAGGAGGAGGACGAGGAGGAGGAGGAGGAGGAGGATGAAGAGGAGAAGGAGGAGGAGGAGGAGGAGGAGGAGGAGGAGGACGAGGAGTAACCGAGGAGTAACCAGAAGGGACCCTGTCCCTGTCCACCGCCGAAACCAACGCCTCAGTCCGCTGGGGCACAAAGCCCAGGGACACAGAAACTACAGTGCAGGGACCGACTTGGGCGCCCCTTGAGGGCAAGGATGTCGGCCTTTGGAAATATGAACGAGGTTTTGCTGTCCCTTCTTGGACCTATTCGGGGGGCACGGCCTCTCAAGGTGCAGACCGTCCACCGTACCGCAGAGCCCGCAAAGCATACAAAATTTCACAGACTGCTGTTCCCAAGTCCACATCTGATGGGACTCGTGAACAAGGCGCCCTCCCACCCAAACCTCCCCTCCCAACCGATGGACCTGCACGCCCGCAAAATTGGGCGTGGTGGAGGAGGAGGCAGAGGGCAGCGGGCCAGACGGCCTGGCGCAGGCCGCCTCCCAGCCCACAGAGGTGGTGAACTCGAGGCAGCTCGTGCACCTCCATCTCGCACCTGCTCGAACGAACCTGTGGGACGACGGAGCGAGAGCACGGTTGCGGCGCGATATGCGAGCACGAGGGGCAGGGGCGGCGGGGATCCACTCTCCCTCCCATGGGTCGCACTCAGCTGCAAGCTTTAGCGCAGCACGGGCACGCCGCCGAACCAGCCAGGCAGTCACACCCACCTCGTCGGTGCGAGGCAACTGACCTTGAGCGGCGGCTAACTGAAAACCTCTAGCGGCAGCATCCGACGCAAACGTGTCCGCAGCCGCATTGCCACTGGACCAGAACGCCTGCTGGGCGGTCTGAATGCCTCCCACCTCATCCTCAAGGTGAGAGGCAGTCCAACACACTTGAATCAGAGAGCCACGGCTGGACACAGCGGTGCGGATCCTCATCCATAAATCTCGATTAGTCTCCTTATTGGGCGCACACCAGCCTCGACGATTCCCCCAAGCTCTGAGCAACGGGAGATGATCTGTTATGTAAATAAGCGGGCCAGACGTGAGCTCCAACGCGAGACAGAACGCTAACAATTCGGCACGGGGAACGGTCTGTTTGGGGCCAATTAACGGGGCCGAGGCTCCCCAAAGAACCGACCACTCGAGCGGAGCATCGGGAGAAGGATCCAGGATGGCAATCCCCGCCCCGCATCTCCTTCTGCGTGGGTCGCTCGAAAACTGGCCTTCAGAACCGTCCCCAAACACCGTCACAGGATTGTCTGAGGACCAGGGGCCCCCCATGAGAAGCAATCCTTGACCAACACACAGCTCCTCAGAAAACGTGGGCACCGTTTGCTTTTTCAGGGGGGGGGGGGGCTCTAAGCCATAAACTGGGCTCCATCTGATAATTTGCCAGGGCTCGGGCGATGAGATGGTCACCTTTTTTTCCGAACGCTGCATCTCCACAGTTGGCAGGACACTGCCAGATCCTGTGGAGTAAAGTCCCAGGCGCCTGCAATGCGCAGCGCATGCAAATCACCGACGTCGAATAGCCTTGTGCTCGTTGACGCTCTCGTGTCCACTGGCCTCCTGATATCGTAGTAATATTCAAACCCCAATTCTCAAAATCCGCTCTGCGCTCGAACTTGTGGAGCTCTCTGGAAATTTGAGACATATCTGCACCATGTTGTAGATCATCAGCACCTTCGAACTTGGATGCCTTGGCCCACTGCATACGACGTAGGCCCTGAACAAACTCGCCCACAATTTCTTCAATATCAACATGAGAGAACTCTGGAGAGGTAGCCTCGGGGAACCGCCATTCAACTTCACAATCTCCATGGTTATGTGACCAGATATGCGGCGATGGACATTTCCACCCACCTTCAATCAGAGTGGCGATGACCGCCGAGACTGGTCCACGTACACGTCGCCGACGAACTGTGCCAGCAACCTGAATGTGATGCAAAATAGACGTCCGCGATCTTTTGACCTGCTGATGTATATCGGGCCTGCTGAACCACACTGTGAGCCATTCCCATACCAACTGCTCTGGTAACTCCAAACCTGGACCTTTGCTGCCCATGGTGGCCTCGAGGACCGACGTTAAACATCTTCCCCTCTTTGTGCCAACAATCGCCGCACTAGCTTGTCGTCTAACCTGAAGGAGACGACTGGGAGGGGAGCCAAGAACCTGATGCCCATACATACCTTGGGGTTGGACGCCCACAGCCCACAAACTCATACATACCTTTCTGACCTTTGGCCCCAGACGTCGCAGTCGGAGAACTCGTGCATGTCGTCGCTCAGCAGCTCTCTTCCTCTGGTTCGCCTTCTTGCAAACTCTGGATCTGCCCGCACTGGCATCAATACCTAAGTCGGTGGCAGAAACCTTGTAACTGACAGGGATGCCCATGCCTCGGAGCTCTCGAGCGCACTGCTGGCCCAGCTTCTTCGACGACGCGATGAGATCCGTCTTGTCTGAGACTACTAGCCTTGCTTCTTCAAGCGCGTCTTTGAACACCTTGCCTGTCTTGGACATGATGCGAAGAACCCGCTGTGGATCATCGTCTTCAGCTCTAGCAACCGCGTCATCTATGTAAGTTGCCAACATCGGTTCTGGGGCCACTTTGTGTACCTTTTCCAAAATAGGATGCAGAAACAACTTCGCTAGCTGCACTCCTTTGGGGCTGCCAGCCACAAGCGGTCGAGAGACCTCAACAATGTCACTGACCCAATCCTTTAGCTTCAGAAACCGCTGAGCTATGCACATCTCCACTTCTAACATGGCGATGATGGCGGGATGTCCAACGTTCACTGCCGTGGACATAAGTCTGCACAACGAACCACTGTCATAAAACTTTTTCCAGATCCAAAAACAATATGGCAAAATGCTTGCCACTGATGAACCCAACCTCATCCATGAGGGAGCGAATGATGGCTGCCCGAAGGGCAGAGGAGCACTGGAGCGCAGTATCCCAGAACGCGCTGAGGCTTTGAGACCATTCTGCAGCAGGCCCCGTTCTAGCTTGACTCCATAGTTTGCCCGTCGTCGGTAATAGCCCCAGCACTCGATCTCCTCCTCTAGGTTTGGCTGCCAACGCTCCTATTCTCGCATGTATTTGCCGTGGCCACGTGCCTGCATTCTCCACATCATTCAGAAAGTCGACGAACTTCTGTCTGCCCACCACAGGAAGCCTGGCCACGTCATTGACGCTGATGTAATCGACTCCCTTCGCTTTCTTCGGCGACATCCTTGTCAAGGCGACGTCAGGCTCCTAAAGAGTGATGAGCGGGAGGTCCTCCTCTATCGCCCGCTGGTGGCACTCCGTCAAAAAAAAAAGTAAAAAAGAAAAAAGGAAAAAAAAAAAAAAAATAAACAAATTAGAAATAAAAAAACAAAATAAAAAAAACAAAAAAATGAGAAAAAAAAGAGAAAAGAAAAAAAAACAAAACCAAAAAAAACAAAAAAACAAAAAAAAGTAACAAACAAACCCCCCCACTCACTCCCCACAGCCCTGCCCTTTACTGCCCCCCCATCCCACCACCGAATCCCCCACATCCACCTCCAAATCCCCGAATGACCCGAGTCCCCACACCCCAACACCTCCCCCCCCCGCCCACCCCCCCGCCCACCCCCCATCCCCAACACCCCCCCCACCCCCCCCCTCCGATGTCAGTTCGACCGACCATAGGAGACGCACCAATTACCGACCATCTCAACTGCCCGTACACTGCAAGCCAGTGCGAGCCTGAAGACCCGCGGGGTCAGCAATCCCTTGCATCTCTGTGGTGTCGACTGGCTTGTCTTTCACATACTTGTGCAATCGGCCAGGCTGGTTCATCCAAGTGCGTCTGACCCGTGACAAAAACTTCTGCTGACCTTTTCCCACTGCTCTAGCTTGCGACGCGTCGCCAACTTGTCAGTGAGATGGTAAATTCGATCCATGAAATCCACAGACGCTGGCCGAGGGCACTGGCGCCCCTCAGCAGCAAGAGGTCCCCCACCTTCTTCTGGATGGAGGCGTTCTGACCGTAAGTGTTCCGAGGACACCCTGCATACACGTGGGGAAGATGGAACGCCAGGGTCCCCCTGGCGTTCAGTGCGTAAGCTTTCCGAAAGAATCCTGCATAAACGTGGGGAAGATGGACCGCCAGGGTCGTCCTGGCGGTCGTGCTGCTCCTCGATCTGGTCGAACGGGTCGATCTCGCAGTCAAGGTTGGTCGCTACTCTGACTGAAGCCGTTGCTGAGGAAGCTGCGCCATCCTGCTGTGCAGCAGCTTGGCCCTTCTGGCTGAGGATGGCCTGCAGTACCTCGTCGTTGACACCAAAGGGGATGCCCGTGCACGGGTAGCAGGGGAACTGTGGCGTTCTGCTGATGAGTTGTCGGATGCCTGGGTCCAGCTCCGAGTGTGGGTGTGATGATGGGGCCGCTTGGGCACCGAGATCAGACTGGCGCTCGAATACAGCTCGCCATTGCGCCTCCGAAACTCCTCTAAGCAACTCAATCAAATCTGTCCACTCTGTGCGTTCGGAAGTGCCGAATTTCCCAAAATACTCTTCACTGTAACCTGCTAGAATGGTATCACTCAAAGAGCCGATACGCCTTAGGAGAATATTCTGATGCCCCCAATCCAACTGCATTGCGAAGAACTTGCGGCATCTGTCTATGAGCGTGGACATGACAGCCCAGTGCTCCGACGCCAGGTCCTGGATGTGCACCCTGCCTGGAGAAGACCTGGAACATGTCCAAACGAGCTCAAAACCGTTCCTGCGGCCCCTGGCTTTCTCCTCCTCAAAGTCCTTCTCCTGGGACAAAACCGTCTCCTCCAACGCCGCAACCCACATTCCGTATTGATAATATATTTGCGTTTGGGCATTCGTGCGGCGCAACATGGGTGTTTCGGGGATCGGGGAGTTAGAGA